CCACATATAAATAGGTAGAAAACTATTTTTAGCATGTGAAAATTAATTCAATTTAAGATACCACAGGACTGGTAGTTTTAGTTATTCCACAATTAAATGAATCCGCCTCACGAATTTATTTCCATAAATTTTATTACCGGATAAATTGCAGTTTCGCCTCATCAACCCTTTAAAAAGGATTCTGAGCTAGTTATTTCGTGAAAAGTTATATAATTTTATCTTTTTGCTAAAAGAGCAGATATCGTCTATTAGTGTGTCTATTAAGGCAAGCCAGAGCTGCTAAGTCACACTTACAATGTACTTAGCACTGTCTTGTACAAAAGTTGTCTTGAGGAGAGGACAAATGTAAAGCAAGACTCAAGTTTTTTATCCTTCTCCAACAGTTTACTTGAGTAAAAAATGTTAAATAGGGATTTACAGAAAGCTGAAAACTAGTGAGATTTTCCTAAAGGAATAGCATAAATTGTCAATTGTTTAAAATTTGGTTTATTTAAGACATTCACTTTCTTATTTAATCATATTTTTATTCTTATTTTCAGCAAATGACTACTGTCTAAATCTAATTGTTAAATAAGGCTCATTTAAGACAATTTTATTAATAGCTCATGGGTTTAAAATCCAAATATATGTTTCAGCAAACAGCATTACTTTTCCTACCTCACCAAATCTTTTGAGCCAAAAAGCATTTCTATTCTATATTCATTACAGTTACATTCAGTACGGTGTTTGTGAACCAGGCCTATTGGGAGGTGAGTTCGGCAGTAAAGCCAACGAAAGGCATGCTTGGCTTCCTTGTCGGTGGACTCCTCTGGTTCCCAATCCCTTTCAGTTTCGGAACTGCTTGTGGAATGGCCTACCTTGCCCTTGGAGTGCTGAGAGGTACCGATACACTCTCTGAAACCGACATTGAAACTGGTTAGTCGCTTTATTATTCACATCAAGTTTAAACAGAGTGTAAAGAGCCCAAACCATTAGTATAAATGATGTTTGAGTCTTATCTTCATATCTTTGAACTACTGGGAAGAACCAACGATAAGAAACGGTGTAAAGTTTCAAATTTGATGAAAATCATTTGAAAGAAGACTAAATTTGATTTTCCAGTTTCGATATTTTAAATTTGCTAAATTTAACTATTTGATAGTTTACCTCTTGCAATTTATACAAATTTACTAGGTGGCATTGCTGGCCATTCAAATCCCCAGTAGAACATCAGAGGGCAGTCTATACTGCTACAACCAAACCTGTATATGATAGAATTTTTTCTTAATACACTAGTACTATTATGCCTGAGAAAGCAGGGGATTTTTGAGCCCTTATTGACCATTTCACCGAATTAGCTCTATTATGAAAATACTTGCGTTTATTAAGAAGAATAAATCTCTAGTTTTTAATCAAAGTGTCATTATTTGCTTGCTTAAATGAGGTCATTATTGTCACAGTCTTTCAGAGTACCCAGGTACAAGAACGTTTCACAAAAAAACACTTAGTACGATATTTGTTTTACTTAAAATTATATAAAATTTTATGATATTTTGTCAGGATTTTTAATCAATCTCCCCTTTTACCTTCCAATACAGGCTTAGTGCCGGTAGAAGTTGCTAAATATCTCTTTGGGTATTCTGGACAAATTCTGATTTTGATCATTGTAGTAATTGTGGTGACAATTACTGGCTATGCTCAGGTGACAGCGTGCTCCTCCATTTTTATATATGATATATACGCTGTCTACTATAGGGTGAGCCAAAAATGATTTTTAATTGCAATCTATAACCATTTATTTTAAACAGATAATACTTAAGGTTATAGTATAATTATGAGCCTTAAGTAGGATAAGGCAGCTATGAGCTTTTAATAATTTTCTTAAGAGCCAACAATTCTCTAACAATTATAATCCGCTTCGCTATAAATAATCTTGTTACAAGTTTCCAAATTATATTATCTAAGAAAGGGAAGATGAAATCGGAGATATGAAAACGTAGCTGTAAAAGAAGTATGGTGACTGTAGTCCAAAAAAAGTGTGTCTTTGATCCAATTAGGAAAATAAAAGTGTTTACTATTGGATAGCCCCACTAATTTGTGCACCAATAACTACGAAGCCTAAGTTTGTAAAGAGTGTTTAGCTAACTTTTTAAGTGATTTCGTCCGAGCAATATAAAGTTATTTGAAAAATAATGGTTAAACTTTCCTTATTTTTATGTTAAGGAATTCTTAGAAAACTAATTTTTTCACATATTTTCTTACTTTGGTTCCAAATCTATTTCCGTAATAAGCAAAGTAAATAGTGGAAGAAACTTTTAGTGACTCACTGCTTGAGTTGAGACATGCTGCTGAGCTAGTGATGCTGCAAATTCTTAAAGATACGGAAAGCTTAAGAACTATATCTGCTAATTTTTATTTTATTATTTTAGCCATTCCGCCGAAATCTAACTTCCGGAGGGTGTATCCTTTGCGGTCGACAGCGAAAAGCCCAAATTTTAGGAGTCAATAAATGTGAATGCGTTAGCAAAACCGTTTGCTCAGCATGTAAATTTGACGATGAGTAAGAATGAATTTGAGTGCAACCCA